CATCGGACAACTCGGGCCCAATGAGCTTTATTTCGCTTTCCCGCGTCTCGGATATCCAAACTTTCTTATTTGAGACGGTCACAGGAGGAGGGTTTGTATTCATTTTTCACACTTTTTAAGAATCTTTATTGTTTTTTAATGGCATTAAAGCTAACTGACTCTGCACGTTACACTTCGTAGATATAATTCTCTAATTTTATATATATAAATCAGATCGCCAATCAAACATATAATAGAGAAAGCGTTAATTAGCTGATCGCTTCAAGTTTTGCTGGAATTTGGAAAAGTGCCTTAACCTTAAAATTTAGCTTCACGAAGATATTCAAATAGTTAGCGAATGAGTGATGGTAGTGTAAAAGTGTACATCACTTTATATAAAGTTCGTGAGAAAATCTAAAAAAGCTTTTTAAAATCCCTGAGGCATGAGATTCTTCTAAATAAATTTATTTATAAAGTCTACTTAGAATGACTGACGTTACATAAATGTTTAGAAAACTTGTCAAAAATAAATAAAAAATATCCATTTTACAAAATATCAATCGTTTGTAAGAAAAGTTTTGTTGATGACTTTTGATTCGAAAGAAAACGTATTTAAATGTTTCCGCATGCCTGTAAAGTATTATGTGTCTATAGGTTTCAAAACGTTTTACAACATCCACAGTCTCTTCACTTCAGTTTTTCTCAAGCTCTCGTAAGTCCCGGTTCGTTTATATCCATCCATATAGGCTCAAACAATCGTTGTTTCTATTGTCCTAAACAACCAACGATTTAATTAACAAAAGCCTTGTTTCCCACTAAGGCAATGGAACGTGATACGATATATCTAAAGGCACTTTAGAATGATCACACAGCACTAGAGCCTGTTTTTGGCAAAAATTCGAAAATCTTGTAAGTTTTGGTGACACTGAGCAAGTCGTCTCGATCTTGCTTTTGCCATGAACTGCGGAAAATGGATTTATTTGTACAACCCCTTTTTTCGAATACGACTAGCAAATGCAATTTGCGTGGATATTTGCCAAGAAAACGTAAAGCAATATTTGTTACTTGGGTCTTGAAAACATGTTTCAACTTGAGCTCTTGGTCTTGCAAGCGATACAAACGGCCGGTAGTTTGCATTTTATTGCTTATAATGTTATCAAGTAATTGCAGCTTCGAGGCCACCTTCAGCAACAACCTTGATGTACCGTCGAATGTTTGAAGTTCTTCGCACTGCACCATATTATTCACTTTCAAATGTCGCAACTCTTCTCGTGCCATAAGTAAACTACGTTTAGCAGCAGCTTGCATACGTTTCTCCGCTTTGAAAATTTCTTGCATATGATCAATTTCGTCGTCTAATCGTTTGTGTGTATAATAAATGTAGACGGGAAAGAGTAATGATATTCCCAGAAAAATTACGCCAAAAATTGAGAACAAGATTTGCAATAACTTAAAACTTTTGTCCCATTCCATTATATATTGTCGTGCTCTCGGTACACAATCGCTTATTATATCCCTGAACAGGGTATATATATCATTGGTTTGTGAACGTTGCAAACGCATTCTAGCCGCTATACTCGGTGACATAAGACCCATTTCTGGAAATGTAAAATCTTTTATTAATTCCCACAAATAACCATCTGGCCTTAGTAATTCAAAGCAACACCCCACGATCTGGCAGAAAGAATTAACCCACAGCCGAAAAAATTCCAGACCGAAAAATAACAACTGACAAAGAGTCTCCATGTGAACCGTGCGATGCTGTAATAATAGCAACTTCTCGAACGAAGAAAATTATATTTAAAATAGAAAGCTATTTCGTGTAAATAAATCGCAAACTTACATTTTTATATCCTTTAAGAAGGCATGAGCGATTTATCCACAACAAATGTCCAAAATTTTTTGATTTTTATTTTTTTTTTTTTTGTGTTTTTTTGTTTTGTAAATATATTTAAAAAGTGAAAGAAAATTCTATTTTTTGTTTCTTCTTCTTCTGTGAGTCAGTAAATCAGCAGCAGATGATTTACTGAGTTTATTTAAAAAAGATTCAATCTGGACAGGAAGTTCTTTGTTTGAATCTAAAAAAAAGTTGATAACCTGATGGCTTGATTGCAGATGTATATACATGTATGCATATATATATATCTATACCCTTGATCTTACTTCATTAATATTAAAGATATTATACTAATATCTATTAAAAAATAATTCAAATTCACGAGTAGGTAAATATAAGGAAATTAAAATAAATAAATAAAGTGCTATGTTACAACTTAACGACTATGCGACTATAGACTGTACTCGCCGACTTCCACTTAACGACTCTTGCAACTTGCAGTAACGACTGATGCTTCTTTCTTTCTTCGTACTCTTCTTTTTTTCAGATCTCCACAGCTTATTACTATGCTAAGCACCTACTCAAAGTCGTTTCTTGTTATGATTTCGCAAATTCTCCGCCTCGATGGGTGAGGGGCGCTTTGTATCCTTTGTAGTTGTCATAGTTGTCATAAAAGGACGAGCTTGTAGCAGTAAGGTTGCCAAAAGATAATCTTGAAGGAAAGTCAAGTGACTTTTGCGATTGTTCGAGTCGAGGGACAGACAGTTTCCGCTTTTTCCTCTTTTCTTGAAACGGGCAAGAACGAGAGAGAACGTCTGTGCGGGCATGAGCTGAGTAACTCGTCTTGTAAGACTAACTTAACACGTGGAGAAGTAAATCACCAAATAAAATCATCTGATATAACGTAAGGAATCTGGGCTGGTTAGTGAACTACAGTGTTTATTTTGTTTTTATATATATATTTCATTATTGTTAACACCAATTACGCTCGGGTGTATAATATAAATTTTATTATTCAATTCTTTCTTTCAATTAGCCACGTTACTATAAGATCGAATCAAATCTCTCCGTAAGGATTGAGAGAGCCATCTTGCCACGTGGCACAAGTACGTAACCACGAAACGAAACACAAATATCTGGCGCGACGAGAAGCTTAATCGTCGGCATAAATTCGATGACAAGTTGGCACCTCACAATACACGCATACATATCTTCACAAGTTATGACGCCACGTAACTATAATCAGTTTACGGGAAGTAACCTTCTTTACTACTTTTAATTAATTTTTTTATTTTATTTTCTGGACTTTTGACATATGTCTTATGAAAGAGCTTAAATGTTGCAGAAATGAAAGAGTATGTGAAGCAGTAGATTCATAGCTTGCAACATATGTATGTATTGACGGCAAGCTTTAAGGAAGAGGCGACAGCGATTTAAAGCAATCTCGAAGACTGCATTTAGGCAATTAACGAAGCATGGAATGGCGAATAGACGTGAAGACATTCGGACAGACAAATAGATGATGCCAAGGAGATTACAAAACATAGTGTACATTAACTGCTGTTCACAGGTGATCATTGCTTCTCGTGTTATTAAAGATCAATCTGTTAATTTATTTATTTTACTTACTTACAAATGAAACTCAACTAAAACAAATTAACAGTCGAATTCAATTGACTTTTACAAGTAAATCTTATACTAACTAATTTTAAAAACAAGTGTTAAGTATACAAGGAGAAATAAGGAAAAAATAAAAAAATATATAATAATTATTAAATAATAGTGTACACAACTAACACCAAAGCATAACCAGCACAGAAACAAATTGCAAATAAACCTTTAAGCCATCGCAAATAAGAAAAAGCTTGGCAAACGATACAGTAAACAACAGCAATTAATTTTTGAATCATAATGAGATAGATATTCAGGTTAAAAGTTAGTTTAAATATGACAAAGGCTGATCGCGCGTATTAAGCTAAGTTGTTGTGATAGACTTTAAAGATTCCGATATCGAGTGATAGACATCACTTAACCATGCACCATGTAACCAAATTATTTAAGTCATTTTGAAGCTGATACGATCGCGATTACAAGGAGAAGAAAGAAAATAGTTTAACATCGTCAGCGTATATTAAGATCTGGCTGGGTTTAATTACCGAGGGGAGATCACTAATGTACAAATTCAATAAGAGGTGCTAAGTGGCTGCCTTGAGGGACGCCAGACGTCACGGAAAATTCAACCGAGGTGATGAAGTTAAACAGAACTCTCAATGATCTGTTATGCAGATACGAGCTTATCCATTTCACTAAGTAGAAAAGAAACCCAGAGGCATGGAGCTTGAAGATCAATAAACTAAGTCAAATGCTTTGCTAAAATCAGTATATAGGACATTCGCGCAATAGCCACTAGAAAAAGCCTTAAATATATGGCAAGTAAACTTGTAAGAGATTCGTGGCAGTAGATCTTCCTTTTCGAAACCCATGGTCTAATGGAGAAGTATGGGATTTAATGGCAAAAACTAGATGTCAAGTAACAATTCGCTCAAACAATTTAGGTAAGATCCTCAACTTGGCGGTGCCTCAACGTGATGTCCATTTCCTCATTTGAGAATTGGACTAAGGAAACTACTCTTACAACAAAAAGGAAAAACCCTTTTTTGTTTTTTTTTTTTTGTTTTTTTTTTTTTTTTTTTTTTTTTAATGCATTCTATATTAAACCGATTTTATTTGTTTGTTACAATGTTCATTTAATTCATTAAGATTTCAGTTTGCATTAGACGTCTATTAGTGTCACCGGGCATGCGATATGGAATAGCAGCGGCCATATTGGTTATGGCTTTAGCTTGTTGACGTAAATGCTGTAATCTGGTATCACTTCCGCTGTTTAAAATACCAGTGTCTTTCCTCTTTAACATTTTATATTGAGAGTACAAAATATCCATTTTAGCTAACAGAATATCAGGATAAACTTTACATATTTCGGTTCCTAAACCTTTGAAAATGTTAAGGCTTTCTTCTAATTCTCCCACAGAAAATGGTACCAGCTTTGTTTTTTCTAATATCTCTAAAGCCAATTGGTATTTACAATCATGATAGTGATCGAAAAATGAGATCAACTCATTTAATAAATTAAAGGTGACAACTATTTGAGCTTCACATTCCATACGGCTGCCACGTAAACGTTCGCTATACTCAGTGACCAAGCTGGCCAAACGTTCACGCAGTGATCCTTTTTTCGAGGTCTGATGAACAACTTGGGATAGCAACAAAGATAGGTAACGTAAAGAGTAACTTTGCATATTAGCTAAATCGTACAGTTTAATAGCATCTTCAAACATTCCTTTCCGGACTAATTCATCAGCGACTATTTTAGCCACAGTTCGACTGTCAAAATTTACGCAATCAAATTGCTGTAATAATCCCCCACTGGGTACGCCGTTTGGCATCATTTTGCCAAATAATAAATCATAATTGCGACACTCTATTGCCAAGCGGCTGACGCACACAAGGAAAAGATTGCGCCCATCAGAATCGTTAAGATTGCGTAGGAAGTAGTAGTATTGCAATGTTTCAGCGGGATCAGTCATTTCAAACTTTTTGACGTAAAGCATAATTAATCGAGCCAAATTTAAACGACGCTTCGGCACCGAATCCTTAATATCGACAGACAGTAACGGTTCTTCAACACTACGTGGTCCCTGTATTAGCATCATTTCATTTAATGCTAAGCCTATATGGACAGCATGTGCGCGATATTTTTCTGAACGCGCTAAAAATTCTATAGCAGCTTCAAACTGGCCGGTCAGAGACAGTACTTTAAAGTATAAGTGCTGTTGTTCATTTGCATTGAAATGTTTCTCACCATACTTTTCTAGAATCATAAATTGAAGACCGGAGTAGGTCAATGATTCAACGTTTTCAGCAGCCTCATGACGCAGAATGGATAGTTGTATCCATACGAAATCGTCAGTTGTTCTTGCAACTTCTACGTGTTGGTCATTAATGTCGCATCCGATTACAATGCAATAAACCGCTTTCTTATACGGATCTATACTAGTTTTGATTTTATTAAAATAATGTAATTTAAGTTGTCCTTCTAATTTGCTATTGATTTGTTGTCCGGGCTTATTAATTTTATCTTTCAAGAGCTGTATAAAATCTTCATGGCCAGCTCCTCCCATTAGCAGACAACGTAGAGCAGATTGCATGTCTCCACATCGCAAACAATAATAAACCATGGGCCACAAAGGTCTTCCGTCTGTGTTAACATCCTGTAGACAAAAGCAATTGCTTTTATTAAAGTTAAGTTCCACGAAAGCAGATACTAAATTGAATGTACCAGGTATGCCACCACGTTGAGCTTCCCGCAAATTACTACTTAGGATGGTAGACATGTAAAGTTTATAACGATCTTCTAAATACTTTTTGGCTTGTTCGACAAATTGTTTGATTTGGGTGCGACTTTGCAGGGGATCACGATGGCGAGGCACTGGCGTTACGTCTACCATATATTTCATAATTTCCCAGATATCGCAAACGTTGGTATCCTGGAAATTTTTAGCTACTTCGGAAAATTTTTGCACTAAATTTGGCCGCAAAGCGCCTTTAATAACCTTAACATTATAGTCATAAACCTCCTGGGCATAAGCTATTTCGACGTTATTTAAACATGATCGCAAGCCAACGGTTTCGTTAATTACCGTTTGCTCGGGTAATTTTTCTACATGAACCCAATTTTGTGTTGGTCCCCTCAAGGCATTCATTATCCGCACTTTATCTTCACGCCATTTGGCTTTGAGTTGTTCCCATTTCCGTTTTTGAGTCGATTGAAAAGCGTTTCTATTGACTTCTTCTAAAATGGATAATATAACATTTTCTTTCTCATTTTTTAAGAAATTTGGCACATCTGTCTCAGATATAGGATCTAAGGTCACCAGAAGGTTTCGAGCATTTAACGATTCTAATTTCTGTGAAATTTTAGGCAAATCAATACCCTTGGATCCCAATAACATTTGCGCTTGTAAATCTGATGCTTCACTCTGCGTTACTCTCGTGTGCAATTCGTTGGTCGCTTGCAGTACATGAGAAATCGTACGGTTCGCACGTGGTAATTCCTCGGTGTATTGCGTTTCATTATTCAGACGTTGAGCCTCCTGCACTAGTGTATTCAAATCCATTAGGTTTGTTTGAAATATTGCAGATATCTAAACAGTTTTTAAAAATCCGTCTAAAAAAGAATAAAAAAAATAAATAAAATGTATATTAGTCAAAGCAACTAAGTATGAAAATGTGTTATAAGGCAAGTAGTGTCCCGGCTGAGATTGCAATAGATAAACCACGGTCCTACATTTATTTGCGGAATGACGACCATGAATTAAATTATTGCAGCGTTGTTGCCAAGCGAAGCCTTTTAGCTACTTTGATTTCGAGCTAAAATCTCGAATTTCCAATTCGATATCGAGCAAATATTCATAAGCTATCGACCCCTTCAACCCAAAATGCAAATTCAATACTGAGTTTAATCGATAACGAGAACCGCAAACCGATCCAAAGTTCCTGGATTTAATGGCTTTCTCATAAAACCTCATTACCAGTTGTAAATGTTTTAAATTATTTTATAAAATCTTTTTTCACATTGAACGTTTTTTATTCAACTCGGCGAGTCATCTGTAGCTGATTTGCCGAATCACAAAAGAAGAAAATTTTTTTCGTTAATGGTTCTAATTCCTTCTTATTCTTAAATGTTCAGTGTTGTAAAACAAAAAGCCGCACTAGGAATATGAAATTAGGACCTTAGTAAATTTTGAGGTTAGTTTTGATAAATGTTTTTATTTTATTACCGCTTTAGATTTCGTCATTAAATTTGTGAGGAAGGCAATTTTTCCTTCTTTTGAAAAATTTATCTTTTGATCAAATAATGCGGCGGTAAGCCTCAGCAGCTATTCCAGACGTCTTTATCTTCTTTATTTATATCCCTTACATCAATAACACTTCTAATATGCCTTGATGTTACAATTCAATTCTCTTTTAATGATTAATTTTTATCATTCACTAAAGTGCATAGTTCGAATAATAAATGAACAGTTATAATTGCCTATAAATAACGTAATGGCTAAAAATTAAAATTTAAATACCTATACTTAACTTAAATGACCTATCGTCGGTAGTTATCGGACGGAACAGGCACTCTTCTTTCAAAATATCCTTAATTCGTCACCTATTACCTGGTCGGCGAGGGAAGAGGATGTGCAACCGTCCCCGCCATTATACCTTTGTTCGAAATTGAATTGGCGTTGCGTCGATAAGTTGGTCGCATTCGAAATATGTCAGCTAACTTATTTCGAATATGATGTTCCCATTCCTTTCCGTTCCTACTTATTGCAGCAATGGTATAATGCTTACAAGAGAATAACAAACTACTTGCTGTAAAAGAAAATGAGCGGAAAATAACATATACTACTTCAAATATAGGAACAACTACATGTAGAATCAAAACAAGTCCTGCAACTTTGGCTCTTGCAAATTTCATACAAAGTTTTGTGTTCTCCTCTGAAAGCGCTTTTAATCGATCATCTTTTCATATGTAAAGGGAACGTTGAGTAAAAAAAGCTATAAACAATTTTTTTTAAATTTATAGTACCTTCAGCTTTAGCGCAATCACACCACAATTGATTACGAGCTTTTTTTTTTTTTAGAAATATAGAAAACTGAACAAATGGCACCGAACAACAACCAATAACTTTTAAGTGGTTGAGGCGGTACTTTAAAGGAAACGCCAAAGCAATAACATTACACGTTGGACTATATACACAAACACGACCTGCACAATGTAAGTAATCTCTAAATAATTCTATAACCGACGAACATACGCATGAACATGAATATGTTATTGCACCAAAAAAAATGTATTCAGACTATAAAAGATCTAAAGTTATTGCAAAAGGAGACATGTGCATTATTATTTTTCCTCCTGACTATATAAGATCTAATGCGATTGTAGTACCTAATTCATTATTTATCATTTGTGATTGAAAATTGGAAGCTGTAGGGGTCTTTTTCTTTTAAATGCAAGAATATTACAAAAATCTATTCTTTTTTCTTCTCTTTACCCAGAGTTCATTGACGACGCACTATGCATGACCGAAAACAGTTATGAAAGACCATCAAGCGCCGTGAAAAGAAGTGAGGGTCATATCAAAATATTGGAATGGTATTGGGTCACTATGGTTAGTTTCAGTGCCGACCAAACCGTGGACTTTTCTTTACCACACGTAGATAAAGCGACAAAGATCTCCCTTCCTCCCTTGATGGTGTCAATGTACGATAAATGGTGCAAGCTTGACGGGCCCGGATTGAAGAACTTAGGCTTTTTGGAAATGCATGGACGGAAGCAGTACTGCATATACTTGTTCTTCCTCTTATCTATAGGGGTCTACTATCTGGTTGAAGAAGCTTTTTTTCAACAAAATTACTGTCTATTTTACTCTTCTCCATATCTAGCCTCTCGTAATCATTGCCTTGATCAGAGATTTACGAAACATTGCCCTGAGCACGTGACCATTAAAAAATAGAAAAACAACTTTTTGATCAAGAAATCTCTGCAAACATTACCAGTGGGAATCGAAGGTCTCCAGAATTAAACAACGGGCGATATATCGGATTGCATGTATTTTTCCATATAATTTTCGTGGAGTTTGCGACTGGCAGAAGAAAAGATATTTCTTCGTTTTCCTCTTTTTCAATTTATTATCGCTTTTTAAAATACTTTTACCTATGATTTCGCTTAACACCGTTTCAAACGTCTTTTGATTGGGTACTATATTTTAGCAAACAATACAAATCGGAGAGATGTTTTCGTCCTCTTTTAAAGATAAATCGTCCCGTATGGCCAAGTTCCTTTTTTGTATGAAGTGGAGGCCACAATGACGTATAACTCATCATTCGATGGAATCGTGCCGCATCATAAGCCGTTTCCTGATAAAGCGTTAATTGGCTTATTTCGTAGAGAAATCGATCATTATATCTAGAAAAATCTTTTGAAGTTCTTTCACTGCACACTGCGCGACTGCAAAGGTATATATACATATATGTACATATCACATTGTATAGTTATCGATTAAACAATACATACTACGGTTTTCGTTTTGCATAACTAGGGTTTACGCTTATATCGCTCGTATCATTATGTCCTTTCCGTGACCTTTTAAGATCCTTGTAACAAGAGCTCACTAATGTTCTTCTTCGGATGGTTGGGAATGTAAAAGTATCTGGTCCCGAATAATTGGATAACGATGATGTTTCCAGTTTTAATAGAGTCTTGATCGAACTTCTTCTTTTCGCGTTGGTCTTCATTTTTAATAGCGATATTTATTTTAAGTTTCTAGTTTCGATTTTTATGCAAAAAATTATGTAATACGCTGGAAAAAAATTTTCTCAGAAACGATATAAAAATTATTAAACTCAGTAAAAAATATGTTTATAGGAAAACAACACAATGAATACTGGAGAAAAAAAACTAAGTTAATAAAATCAAAAATGAAATTTGTTATGAAACGCAAGTCAAAACGGTAAAACAGAAAAGGCTTGGGTTAGGTAGGTATCCGCAGTATGCGTAAAAAAGGCGGAAGAAGTTCGGATAGCCACAAGCCTCATAGGAAGGACAGAAGAAGGTTAGGAAAGCTGGCCGTTATCCATGCATCACTTAGGAAAGCCAGAAAAAGGTAAGGGGAGTTAGATAAGTAGCCAGGCATTCGCGCAATGCGCAAGAAAGTCAGAAGAAGCTTGTAGTGGATACAAGGGTAGTCACAAACCCCATAGGAAGGCCAGAAGAAGATTGGGATAGCTAGCCGATATCCTTATACCGCATAAGACAGGCAGAAGAAGGTAAGGGTGGGTAAGTAAGCACCCGTACAACGCGCAGGAAGAAGAAGTTTGGGGTATGTATGCGGGCTAGTCAATAAGCTAAGTATCTGCACGCCTCCCAGGAAAGTCAGAAAAGCGATAAGGTAAGTATGTATGTATATAGTTAGTTAGGCATCCGCACAACGTACCGGAAAAGCAGAAAAAGGTTGGAGAAGATCGGCAGGTTAAGAGGCAAGTGGGCA